TTCTCCACTCTGACCAGTCAGTTCCTACTCACTTGAAACCTTCTGCTTCTCTACCACGTCCTGGTCATCCTCAGGCAGCAACATCACTTTTCGTAGTTTCTGCCACTTTAGCATTTGATTTCTTTCCTCCTTGTGTTAGAATTAGTTGTTTGATCTTCATTAAAAATTTTTTAATAACAGCTTTATTTAGATAATTCCCATCTCATGCATTTCACCCTTTTAAAGTATATTATTCAGTAGTGTTTTAGTATTTTCAAACTTGTACAACCATCATCACAATAAATTTAGAATATTTTATCACCCCATAAAGAAACCTTCTACCCATTATCTGCCTCTTCCCACTTTCCCTCTATTCCTCTTCCTCCTAGCCCAGGCAGCCAATTATCTCTCTCTGTCTCTATAGATTTGCCTATTCTGGACATTTCCTATAAAAGAATGATAGAATATGTGGCCTTTTCTGACTAATTTTACTAGCATAATCTCTTCATGGTTTATCTATGTTGCAGTGTGTATTACTACTTTATTTCTTATTTTGGCTGAATAATATATCATTGTGTGGATATACTACATTTTGTTTATCAATTAGTTACCGAAAAGGGGACCTGGCCCTTGGTGGGTCTGCCTAGGGCCAGCCGGTAGTGTGTGGGTTCTTGAATTTGTGCAGGAAATAATTCACAACAGGAGCCCAGGTGACCATGCGGGAACTTTATTAAAGCTGGGACAGTAAAACAAGAAAGGGCTTAGCATAGAGGCAGCAACAGGAGAGCCAGGCTGGGCTGCCTTAGGTCTCTGGGAAGGCAGAGGAAAGGGGGCCTTGGGAAGGGGTTCAGGGGTGAGCCTGGGACGAGCTGCCAATGGTTGCAAGCCTCGTGGGGTCCCTTAGGGTTTAGGGTGCCTGCCTGTGGGGGAAGGGGGGAGGGAATTTCGGGGGCTGCTCCTAGAGGAGACAAATGCACGGGGTCCTTAGTCTCACAGGGGAACCTTAGGGGAGGTGTCAGGGGAGGGTTCCAGCAGAATATTCGACAGCTTCCAGGTGGGCTCCTCCAGGGCCGTGGTCTCCCCTGATGGGTCAGTGCCAGGGCCGGGGTTGTCAGTCATCGCAGCTGGTCCTGGTGTGGCCCACCTGGTTTTGCTGTTTTTCTGGGCCTGGAGCTGAAGTACAACTGAAGCCTAGATGTTACCTGTGGGGAGGGGACCTGTGTATCTGTGTAAATTGCTTCAGTGTGTTTAGCTCTCTGCCTCAGTTTCCCTGTTCCACCTGTCTTGGCTCCCTGGCTTCACCAGTTGATGGACATTGGTGTGTGCTTTCTGGCTCTTAATGGTTAATACTGCTATGAACATTTCTGTGCATGGTTTTGTATGAACCTGTGCTCATTTTTCTTAGAGATGCACCTAGGAAATAGAGTTTTACATGTCTGGTCTTCGCATATTGTCCTAATTGCTGTCATAGTGATGGGCTTTTTAAGGATCTGCCAGGCTGCTTTCTAAAGCAGCTTTACCATTTGATATCCCTACCAGTGCTGCATGAGGGCTCCCCTTTCTACCTCCTTGCTAATACTTGGTATTTTGTCTTTTTATTATAGCTATCCTGTGAGTGTGAAAGGGTATCTCATTGTGGTTCCCATTTATAGTTCTGTGATGGCTCTTCAGTAATTTTTAAATTATTCTAGGTAAGAAACACTCTATTAATAATTTCTTGTGTCTTAAAACACCCACAGTATTTTCCACATATTAACTCATAATAAATTTTTACATTTATAATCCTGTTTTTAAAAAGTGGGCTTTCCCCACATCACTAGCATTTTGCTCTGGCTTTTACCCTCGCACCTGTACCTTATATGTCTCAGTCCCACGTAGGTACTCCATTTCTTGACCTCTCATTGCTAAGCCCTACACACCAAATAACTTGATGAATGTTAATTAAAGGAAAGAATGGAATGTTGTCTGTTCATTTTGGATTGTGGAGCTTGTTCCTGGGGTCAGGTGGGTACTATTTCTGCTAAATGCTAATAACTTAAAGTTATAAAGAGCATTAGAGGCTTCATTTAAACTGTCACTTCCAGAAAGAAAAGACAACTTGAAAACTGCTTCTAAAATAGAGTGTTACATGTCTGGTCTTTGCATATTGTCCTAATTGTTGTTTATTCTTTGGATTTTCTGTGTAGGTCGCCCCACATTTGTGTGTTTATTTCTTATTTGAGGAATTCTATGCAATGTTAGCCTAATAAATCAAGAAAGTTCATCAAAGCAGGTAGATCATCTCTATTATAAGGTATAGTTAAAATATTTCAAAATGATAGGTAATAGGTAATTTTTAAGGTTTTAGAGAAACCAAGATGGCGGCATAGGTTAATGCCGGAGTTTGCTGCCTCGAACAACCATTTCAAAAATACAACTAAAAGACAGAACGGACATCATCCAGAACCACAGGAAGGCTGGCTGAATGGGAGTTCTACAACTAGGAGTAACTGAGAATCAGAGGAGGCGCAGTGCTGAAGTAAAATACTAAGGTGCGGAGGTGCGCGCGGCGTGGGCTGGTGGCTGAGGGCGTGGTTGTCTGTTTCAATCCGGAGGGAGCCTCAGACTCAGAGCTCCAGATCCGGGCGAGTCTCTAGGGACCCAGACTCAAACGGGAGAAGCAGGACTGTCTGGCTACGGTCCCTCCGAGGTTTGCAGCTGTTGCTGGGACAGAGAGGCAGAGCCCTGGGGACGGACTGAGAGCAGCCATAACCGCTCCCTCCTCCGCCCTGTTGATCCCCTGGAACCCGCCCCGCCCAAGCCCTGCACAGAGGCATTTGCCGGATAGCCTCAGGCAAAGGCTAGATTAGCACCTCCCTAGAGGACACAAGTTCTTCCACTGCAAACACAGCTGATTATCACAGCCAGTCAGCCTGGAGGTCAAATCCCTCTAGTATTAACTATAACAATCAAGGCTTAACTACAACAAGATTGCGCACAAAGACCACAAAGGGGTGTACCATGAAAGCGTAAAAAAATGTGGAGACAAAGAAACAGGACAAAACTATCAAGGGAGGATATTGAGTTCAGAACCACACTTTTGAGGTCTCTCAAGAGGCTTCTAGAGTCTGTTGATAAACTTGATGAAATGTACAGGAAATCTAATGAGACCCTCGATGGTGTGATAAAGGACCATTTAGAAAGTAAGCATACACTGACTGAAATAAAGAATATTATACAGACTCCCAACAGCAGACCAGAGGAGGGCAAGAATCAAGTCAAAGATTTGAAATGCGAAGAAGCGAGAAACACCCAACCGGAAAAGCAAAATGAAAAAAGAACCCAAAAATACGAAGATAGTGTAAGGAGCCTCTGGGACAGCTTCAAACAGACCAACATCAGAATTATAGGGGTACCAGAAGATGAGAGAGAGCAAGATATTGAAAACCTATTTGAAGAAATAATGACAGAAAACTTCCCCCACCTGGTGAAAGAAATAGACTTACAGGTCCAGGAAGCGCAGAGAACCCCAAACAAAAGGAATCCAAAGAGGACCACACCAAGACACATCATAATTAAAATGCCAAGAGCAAAAGACAAAGAGAGAATCTTAAAAGCAGCAAGAGAAAGAGACTCAATTACCTACAAGGGAATACCCATACGACTGTCAGCTGATTTCTCAACAGAAACTTTGCAGGCCAGAAGGGAGTGGCAAGAAATATTCAAAGTGATGAATACCAAGAACCTACAACCAAGATTACTTTATCCAGCAAAGCTATCATTCAGAAGTGAAGGTCAGATAAAGAGCTTCACAGATAAGGAAAAGCTAAAGGAGTTCATCACCACCAAACCAGTATTATATGAAATGCTGAAAGGTACTCTTTAAGAAGAGGAAGAAGAAGAAAAAGGTAAAGATACAAATTATGAACAACAAATACGCAACTATCAACAAATGAATCTAAGAATCAAGTGAATAAGTAACCTGATGTACAGAATGAACTGGTGATTATAATAGAATCAGGGACATAGAAAGGGAATGGACTGACTATTCTTGGGGGGGAAAGGGGTGTGGGAGATGCGGGAAGAGACTGGACAAAAATCATGCACCTATGGATGAGGACAGTGCGTGGGGAGTGAGGGCGGAGGGTGGGGTGGGAGCTGGGAGGAGGGGAGTTATGGGGGGGAAAAAGAGGAACAAATGTAATAATCTGAACAATAAAGATTTAATAAAAAAAAAAAAGAAAAAAAAATTTTTAAGGTTTTAATGAGACCGTCAAAATCCATCTGTTCAAATTTTAAAGGAACTTTATTCAACTTTAACATTATGTAAATAAACATTGGCTAATACACATATAAATTCCTAATTAATTGTGCTAGAAAAATAGAAGTGTTTAATAATGTTGATATACTTTCTTGTGCTAATATTAACCTTCTGAACAAAGTAGTTATTTATTAGCAATCTT